GAAGCGGACCCGGGGGAGGCCTGGGAAGCGGGCATGCTTCAGGCCCTTGCCAGAAAAGCCGGCCAGTCCCTTCAGGCCGGGAGGGATGTTGCGAAAGGCGGGCTACCCCCCCTGGGGAACGAGCCGAACTTGCATCCGGCACGGGCAGGGTATTGAGCGGGGTGCGTCAGGAACGTGCTGGCCGCGCTTGCACAGGCGCCAGCCGTAAGCTCGTTCCGCGCGCTCTGATGGCTGGACGACGGCGCCATATCCTCGAATTGGTGGCGAGAGAGATAGGATTCCTACCCGGTAGCGGCCGGCCGAGCTTTTCGCGGGCGGTGAAGCCTGCCCGCCCGGGCGCAACAAAATTTCTTTTTTGCAAAAGAGGGCGGCCTACGCTGAAATCTCCCCGCGGGCGGGAGCCCATCGCACCGCCAGGTGGAAGAGAGAGAGAGAGGTAGTGGGCTCTGAAAAAAAAGTGGGGTGTGAGACTGCGTCACAAAGAGTGAAGAGACTACCATCCGTTTGTATTATTAATTAACACATAACAGCGAAGGTGCTCTCAAATCTCGCCGACCCGACAGGCACGCGACACAGGTGAGACCTCGAATGCATGGCGGCAAATTGATTTTTAAAGCACACGACTCACTGTGAAGCAGGCGTCAAGGCTGAATAATAACGTTAAACATGGTCGCAGAAGCGAACCGACGAGACCCTGCCGCAGCTGCCCCTGCCGCAGCTGCCCCTGCCGCAGCTGCCCCTGGCGGCGTCCGCGTCCTCGCCCCCCACGTCGGTCGCCACTGCGGGCTCTGCAACGCTGACGACAGTGGCGGCAGTGGAGACCACTGATCGCCGCGGCGTGCCACCACTGGACGCCTCCGTCCCGCACGACCGCGCGGCGCTGCGCTGGAGGGCGGGCGAGCGGCGCGTCGAGCGCTCCTCCAGGACGGTCCTCGCCCACAAGTTGAATTGCGACAGCGAGCCGTAGCTCGACTCGATGACGGCGAGAAAGTGGTGGCGGTCGGCCGGGAGCACGCAGCGCGCCTGCTGCGCGTCAAAGGCGGCGAGGGACTCCGAGACGGTCTGCAGCCCCTCCTCGGTGGCGCAGGCGGCGATGGGCACCACCGTGATGGCCTCGCGCCTGCCTCCCATCTTGAGGTAGGCAAATAGCTCCATGACGCACCACAGGCGCGAGGCATACGTCGGCCCAGCGAGAATGAGGAGTGATCTGCAGCCAGCAATAAAGATGGGAAGGCAGGGGAGGGCGCGAGTGATGTCGTCCTGGTCCAAGCAGGCCTTGTCGAACCAGAGCCTCGGCGTCCGGCCGTGCCGGTCCTCGAAGGTGCTGGCCCACGCCTTCAACGCCTCCCACTTTGCGGCAGGCGGGTCGTGCCAGCTGTGGCTGATGAAGCAGTCCACCTCGCCTAGCCCGCACCGCTCCGTGCGCTCGGCAAAGTCCGCGGCGCCCGCCTTTGGCCCGACCGGTGACGGGCATGTTGCGGAGCCCTCGCGCCGGCTGGACGGCGCGGAGTTTGCGCCGCCGCGCGAGCACTCCGCCAGATCCTCAAAGCAGAGGCGGTCGAATCGGATGCAGCGGAACTCGGCCTCCGCCACATGGAGGAGCTCCTTCTGCGTCATGCGGCGGCGAAACGAGCAGAGCGACGCGAGCAGCGCCGCCTCCCGCTCCTCCTTGGTTGACCCGAGCCGCCCGAGCGCCGCGAGCGCATGGCCGCGAAGCCAAGGGCTGAGCAAGAAGAGAGAGGATCCGACGAGGGAGGCGCCGGCCGCCATGATGGGCAGGAAGGATGGATGGTGCCGGTACGGCTTCTCAAGCCGCGCCGCCCGCAGGCCAAAGTAGCCCAGCACGAGCAGGCCGAGGATGCCGAGCACCAGCCGCGCGCTCGCGAGCAGAACGGCGAGCTGCTGTCGGGGTGGCAGCGTGCGAGCGGTGAGCGCGTACGCGGTGAGCGCCGCTCCGGAGAGGCCGATGACGGACTGCGCGGCGTAGTACCAGCACAGGCCAGCGGGGTCTGAAAGCGCGACCGTCGAAAACGAGCGGGCGACCCACGGGCCGTAGAGCGCCAGGCCGAGGCAGCCGATCAGGAAGAGCGCGCAGCCAACGCGAATCTCCTGCACGTCCGTTGGGCGAAGCGAGAGGAAGAAGAGCGGGATCGCCGGGATCGCGATGCAAACTAGGGAGATGGGGTTTACGTGCGCGAGACGAGTGGGCCAGTAGCCGCCGTCCGCCGAGTACATCAGCCACGGAGTGACGCCCCAGACGATGCACGTCGCTGCCAGGGCGAGGACCGCCTCCTTGGCATCGGCAGCGAGCCTCCGGTTCTGCCTCGTCGCACCCCGCAGCCGCTTCCGCACCGCCTCGCTCCGGCGCAGCTTGCTGTAGGCCGCCGCCCGCCCGGTTGCTGGCGCTCGCAGCGAGGCGCGCTGGCTCTGAGCGTCGTCAAAGGTGGCCGTCTCCTCCGCGACGCGCCGGTGGCAGCGGCGGACGAGGACGAGGACGAGGAGCGTCAACGAGAAGCCGCCGCAGCCAGCCAGGTACGCGACGAACAGTGGCGTCGCCCGACGTCGGGCTGCCTCGTCGGCAAGCGCGTAGTCAGAAGCGTAGTCGGGCGACATCTCGGCAGAGCGCTCGCAGAGGCAGTGGAAGCGCCACTCGCACGGCTGATCTCGCTGCTTACCCGACGGTCCTTGCACGGTGGCGCAGTCCTCGTCCACTCGCCTGTTGTTTGGCTGCCCGAAGGCCCAATTGCGGTAGCCTGGGTCGCAGCGCAGCGCAGACGGCTTCCACCCAGCCTCGGCGCCCTGGTCGGTCGGGTACTGGTGCAGCCCGAACCAGGCAACGTAGGTCTCTGTCTCAAGCAAGAGGCTGGCGGCGGCGGCGGTGTCGCTGTCGCTGTCTATGCACGCGAGGGCGCCACCGGCAGCCACGCACTCTGCGGCGCAGCCGGCGTGCGACTGAGCTGTGACAGTGATGAAGTAGGAGGAGTTGCTCGAGTGAGGAGGCTCCGTGCTGGCCTGCGCTGTGCCGGCCAGCGCTGCCACGAGCGAGAAGGCTGACATTGCCCAGCGCGCCCGCTGCGCCGCTGCCGGCAAGGCGGAGGAGGCGAAGCGGGCGGTGCAGGGGAGTTTGGCGGAAGCGGTGGGGGCAAGGTGGAAGCGTGGCTGAGGTAGGACGGCGGCTCGCTGCGCCTTTTCTTTTTTCGGTTTGTGTTAGCGTGTGAGTGTGTGTGTGTGTGTCGTGTGTGTGTGTTTCGTATCAAGAATACTCACTCACTCACACACTGTGTTAGCCCCCTGCCCCTTGGCCCGTACTAGATCTAGCCACAAGCAAGGTTCGATCGAGCTGCTTGGAAGCTCGCGAGAGAAAAACCAAGCTAAAAGCGAAGAGAGAGATTTTTAGCAATACCAAACAACTCTAACACTCACACGTCATTTGGGGCCTGGAGCGAACGCTCCTGTTCACGCGCGCGCGAGACGTGCAGACAGGGTTGCCAGGTGAGAGCGAATGGCGCGGTTCACGCCTCGCACAACAGAGCAAACACAAACACAAGAGAGAGATGCGCTCTGCATGGTGGGACATAAAAGAGAGCGAGTACTTGGGCGAGTAGGCCGCCGTGCGGTCGACGCTGCCGCGCGCGACTTTGCGCGCGAGGCGGCGCAGCTTGAGAACGGCGGTGGGCGAGAAGCCGCCGCCGAACGTCTCGTGGAGCAGCAGGTTGAAGTTGTTGCGCGCTTGACAAAGATCGCGTCGTGGTAGAAACCGCGATGCGCCTTGACGTAGGTCGTAGCCGTGGCCGGTCTTGTGGGATTTTGTTGTCTTGATTGGAGGCACTGGAGGCGAGGCGAAGGGAGGTTGGGCCGGGCTGTGAGGGGCTGATGGCGCTGGCCAGCGCGGGGTGTGAGATGTCGTCGTCGTATACTGCTGGCCCTCGCCCTCAGTTGCCTGGGCTGTGGGCTGCAGAATTGGCGTCTGTGGCGTCTACGCAGGCTCTGCAGCGTGATGGCTGGCGGGACTGCGAGGCCGGCGGCAGCGGAAGGAGAGGCTGGGCACGAGCCAGGAACAGGCTGGCCAGGTCCGCAGGTGGCTGCGCTCGGGCGAGGCGCGCGCGCGCAGGCCGAGCAGGCTCGGCATATATGGTGAACCCCCGATGTCGCGATGCGTCCCTTTTCCGCGATCATTTCGTCCGGGAGGCGAGGCGCGGCGCGGAGCCGGAGAAGGCGCGGGCGCGAGGGCGCAGGCCGAGGTCGCCCTTGACGGAGGCGAGGCGCGGCGCGGAGCCGGAGAAGGCGCGGGCGCAGGGGCGCAGGCCGGAGACGGCGCGGGCGCGAGGGCGCAGGCCGAGGTCGCCCTTGACGGAGGCGAGGCGCGGCGCGGAGCCGGAGAAGGCGCGGGCGCGAGGGCGCAGGCCGAGGTCGCCCTTGACGGAGGCGAGGCGCGGCGCGGAGCCGGAGAAGGCGCGGGCGCAGGGGCGCAGGCCGGAGACGGCGCGGGCGCGAGGGCGCAGGCCGAGGTTGTCGTTGAGAGTGACGGGATCGCCAGAGTAGTCGGTGATCGGATTGGCCATTTTTTCGCTGCTGGGCGTGGCGGAGATGTCCGCCATGACCCCGGGGGTGGAGTGCACCTCACCGTAAGGTACCACGTTTGAGCGCGGAGGCTCAGAGCCGGAGGGTGGCTGGCTGAAGGATGGTAAAGGACCAGAAAGGCACGACGTCTACTACATCCGACAGACAAGACGCGCCGACTAAGTAAGGGACGTCCACGTGACACGATTGTGGCACAGAGGGTGTGATGCTGGAGTATCGACATTCATGGGGCACGGCGCAGGATGCGCCGTGCTAGTACACCGTGTGTAGCGTGTGTGTGAATAGGGCGAGCAAGAGGGAGAGCACTCGCATGGGCCAAAATCCGTGACTTGGCGTACTCTTTTCCGAGCGCCTTTTAAATTTAAATTTATCCTGGATGTGAGGCTGCTGACTGCACTCCAAGTCGGCTCCAAGTAAGCTGGGAAACGAGTGAGACGGGGTGAGCGAGGAAACATGTATGCAGCCTAAGGCGCCCCACAATCGCTACAGTCTGTTGCGGGCGTTTTACGCGTTAAGAAAGCGTCCCATTAAGAAACCCTACCAAGCAATTTCCGCG